GAGAAGGAAGAGGAAGGAAAGAAAAGTAGAAATAGTGAAGGGCCTGGGGGTTCAGCCTCCTCCACAGCCTTCTCACCAGGGTGTGAGTGTGATCCAGTCCAAGCCAGCCCCGCTGGCTCCTAGGGTGACCCAGTAGTCTCTGCACCCCTCCCTAGGGCAAGCAGACAGATCATTTACTCAGGAGATTGAAGTCTGGACTCCACCCTTCCTTCCCCTCCCTTCTCTTTTTAACTTTTCACCATGGAAATTTCCACAGAGAGAGAGAGACACGAGAGAGACAGAGACAGAGACAGACAGTGAGACAGAGACAACTAGAAACAGGTCCCTCCCCAGGAGCCTACTCCGGTCTTTGATGGGCCTCTCTGGTTATGTCTCCCTTCAACCACTTCTCTTTAGCCTTTTTTTTTTAAAAAAAAAAAAAAAAACAGGGTCTCCCTGTAGCCCCAGCTGACCTGGAACTTTCTATATAGACCAGGCTGGCCTTGATCTCATAGAGATTCACCTGTCTCTTTAACCTTAATTTTTTTTTTTTAAGAATTTAAAAAAATATATTATTGCCGGGCATGGTGGCGCATGCCTTTAATCCCAGCACTTGGGGGGCAGAGGCAGGCGGGTCTTCGTGAGTTCGAGGCCGGGCTGGTCTACATAATGAATTCCACGACAGCTGGGGCTATGGGGAGACCCTGTCTCAAAAAGACAAAAAAAAAATTTACATTTTTTTCTTTCTTTCTTACTCTGTGTGTATGTTTATACATACACAAGTGCACAGTGCTCATGTGGAGGTCAAGGGATGACCTGTGAGAGTCAATTCTTGCCCTGCAACATATAGGTACCTGGGGATCAAACTCTGGTCCTCAGGTTAGATGTGGCAAGTGCCTTACACACTGGGACACTGCATGGGCCACCCTTTAGCCTTTTAAAGTAATCTCAGTGTGTCTCTCCATCTGTAAACACATCCTCACAATAAAATAACTTTAAATTCTAAGCCTGGGCCTGGAGAGCTCATGCATGCCGCTCTTGCAGAGGACCTGGGTTCCATTCCCAGCACCCACATGGTGGTGAATAACTGGTAACTCCAGTTCGTTCGACGCCCTCTTCTGGCCTCCTTGGGCATTGCACAACAAAATAAATTCTAAGCCTAAAGACTTTATTCCTCTGCTTAAATTCCAGGGGCCGCGCTTCCTCTGTCACCTCGCAGTTTTTACCAGTCCTGGTCCTGACTGGTCCTTCCCCTCCCCACAGGTCACTTTCCTGGAGCCCCTATTTCCCTGGCTGGCCACGCAAGTTTCTAGTTCAAGTGTTTGGATCCCCCCCTCGTCTCCAATCCCAGTGGGAGGCCGGCCAGGGAACTGAGCATTAAGATCTGCATTCTGTTTTAAAAATATCCCCCTGGCTAAGTGCGGGATGAGCCGGGGGTGGGATGGGGGAGCCGGAAGACCGGCATCAGAGATAACGGCTACGCGGCAGCAGGAGGCTCTAGTTGCGGGCCACATAGTAACCGCTCACAAAGCACGCGCAAAGATGGTTGGCGTGCACATGGCTTGCCCCAAATGACCCCGAGCTGGCTGGTTCGGGGGCAGAAGCACAGGGTCACTATGTCGAGGGTGTTGCTGGCTCCCTGAACTAACTCCAGGCTGCCTGGGAGATGGGGCGGGAGTGAGTTTCAAGCACACATGACGTCATCCCCCCTAGAACAAGCTGGCACCCACTGGGGACAAGACCCTCGTGGGCTGAAAGCACCCACGAGGGGCAGCCGGGGTCAAGGCCAGCAGCAGAGAGGCTTCCTGGGTCCATAGGGTGGTGGGTCGGATGCGGAGAGGAGCTCGGCCAGCAGGGGGCACCCGGGAACCACCGCAGCAGCTGCCCAGGTGAGCCGGCGCCTGCTCCGTCCTCCCGGGAGCCGTTCACTTGGCTTTGGAGCGCCTTCCCTATGTGCTCAGACAGATCTGGACAGGCCGGGCACCTGCCATTCCAGACCTTTGTCTTTTTGTTTTTGGGACAGGGTTGTCACCATGTAGGCCTGCTGGCCTCTCACTCACAGATCTGCCTGCCTCTGCCTCCAGAGTGCTGGTGTTAAAGGCACCTTCAGCCACAGACCTCGAGACAGGCTCTTTGTTCAGAGTCCACTAGAGGGAGAAGAGCCTGGCCTTTCCCAAGGGAGAGGTTTGGGCAGGGACCAGGGTGACTGGCTTTGGGTTTTGAGGGGTGGAGGTGGATGGTTGGGCTGGGCCGGCCAGGGAGCTGTGGGCAGGCAGCTGATGGTTGGAGTGGACAAATTGTCTGGATTGTATTTGTGTCAGGGGTTCGACTCAAGGGTGAAGGACAGGTGTCTAGCTCAGGTAAGCCCTGATTTGATTAGGGACAGTGAGGCCCCTTAGAAACAAACACTCCTGGAGGCTGATGCTGGGCATCAGTTCTCTTGAGATGCATGGTTAGGGCAGGGAGACAGGCTGACTTGGACTCCTTCCTTGGGAGTGGTGGTAAGTGGCAGGGTCAGAGGCCCTGACCACTCTTCTTCCTATCCCTTCCCCAAAAGGAACAGGATGCCAATGTTTGAGAACACCTCTGAAATATGGCCTGTATGTGGCCAGAGCCCCTGGGGTGAGATTCCACCAGCCAAGGGGGGAGCCTGGCCCTAGTCCCCCTGGGGTAATGTTGGGCTGAGGAAAAGGTATGCTGCAAAGCCTGGATGCTCTACCCCAGGGGACAGAGCTGTGCTCTGGGAGCTTCTGAGCTGGCTGGAGCTCAGGTCAGTGAGGGAGACAAGCTAGGGGCTGGAACCAGCCAGAGCTCAAGGCACCACCTGACAGCAAACTTGCTCATGCAGCTTGGGTGTGTGGCAACTGCTCCTGAGGGAAAAGGGCCAGCTATGAGTGCAGACAACTGGCTCAAGGCAGCCAGCAGAGCAAGGAAGGCCAAACGCACTGCAGGGTGGGGCAGGTTAGAACCAAGTCCGCTGATCCCTTCTGCCCACCCTGGAGGCATCTGCAAATGGCTCACTTTGCTTTCTTACTACAGACCACCTGACAATCTTTTGGGATGAATTTATCCACCCAGCATCGCCCCCGGATAACACCTGTCCTGGACAAGGTCACAGCTACCCAGTCTTTCCAGATCGGGCCAGGTACCACACTGCCAGGCTGAACAGACATTTTCTCCATTTCCTAGATGAAACCAAGCTCTAGAACATTCCACAGCTGGCCCTAAGTTGGTAGCCATAGACCCAGCTTGCCCGGAGGTTCTGGCCACCAGTGGCCCACAGGCTCTTACTACATCAGGCATGTGGGCAGAGAAAGGCTGAAGGTCAAGGCTCAGCCTGGTAAATGGCACAGCTGAAGAGTGGGGATTCTAGAATCAGGGGTCAGGGCTGGGGTGTACACGGCTCAGTGGGAGTGTTTACCCAGAATGCAAAAGGGCCTGGGTTCTATTCTCAGCACTGCAAGAAGCAAACCCAGAAAACTTACAACCAGGACTGGCCTTTGGTAAGTGATGTACTTCTGTGGCCTCACCAAAAACAGGGGTTGTGGACATGCTGACCCGGTGGGGGAGGGCTTATACCTGCCACTGGCCTGTGCCTCTCTGGCTGCTGCTTGTGACAGGGACCTGAGCCAGAACCATCCGACTGAGGAGTAGGGATTGGGTCCAGGGTGACTGGGCAACAGGCTCCACTGTGCTGATCTTTGTGATAGCTGACTCACCACAACAGCTGAGCAGGGTCTCCAAGGTTCTGGCCTGGGTGGGTAGAGGCCAAGCTGGCAGGTTTATGGACTGTGCTTGATTTAACCCTTTCACACCCAAATCAAGCTCCAGGAGGCTTGGTACCCGACAGGTAGAGAAGCCAGCGCAAGGCACTGGCTGCGGCCTCCTGCTGAGTGCCTGGGTACCAGACAAGCCCAAGCCAGTGGCTTGAACACTGCAGACCTTCAGGGACTCACATCACATCAGACTTAGAAAAGCAAGCCCTGTCAGGCACCTCAAAGGCTGCACACTTTTAACTGTGTCCTTGGGTAAACTTCTCTTTGAGGGACTGCGTACCCTTACAAGTGGGAGAAAGGGGGAAAGACAGACACAGTGACATTCAGCCACATGCAGGAATGAACTGGTACCACTTTCACTACCTGGGGTCGACTGTGACCAAGGGCAGGACACAGACTCACACGTGCTGGCTGCAGGGCGGTCACTGCTTTTAATTCTGGTCAAGATTCCACATGCCAGGGGCCATGTGGGCCAGAGACCCACCCCCCTCCACACCCACAGAATCCCCCGCTGCTCCGGTATACATGATCATTTACAAAAATAAATATGAAAAAGCAGCAACTCTTTCATGATGGTAGAATTGATCTGGTGGCAATTAAATGTGTCTAAGCATCTAGCATGGCTCTGAAATTGCACCATAGGGATCTGGAAGCACTTGGTTCAGTCTGAGGCAAAATGGAGGCCCTGGAAGAGGCTGGCCTCACATCTCAGAGTCAGCATACATGCCATTGATAAGGTAGTCCACCTGTGTGTAATCCCTCTTCTTGTAGCTTTCATAAGCTTGCAGGGCAAACAACACCAGGACCGTGATGAAGAGGGTCACCCCTAGTACAAGCACCGCCAGGAGGAATGTTCTGTTCACCAAGGATGGGGTCAGGGGCTCAGTGGTGACTACTACATACTGGTCTTGGGTGCTGAGTTGGCACAAGTCTGTGGCTGGCACCTGAGGTTCCCCTGAGCTCTTAGGTGGGGGCCCAGCGGAGGCAGTACCAGGTGTGGCTTTGGTCTCTACCGGCTCTGGTGTCTGGGACAACGTACCTGGCCCACCAGTGTCCTGTAGAGGTGACGTAGGACTTGGCTGTGTGGTGGGGGCTGTGGACTCCACTTCAGGGGCCAGACTGGTGGGAGGCGCTGGTGTGCTGGCAGTTGGCTCCTTAGTTTGTGCCTGGGTGGTGGTCACCACTGCCGTGGACACCGAAACCAAAGAGGTGGTGGTGTTGGAGGAGCTGAGTGTGGACCTCTCTGTTGTGCTTTGTGCTGGCTGGTCTGTTTTCACTTGAATGGTGGGATGCTGTGTTTGGGGCCCTGTGGTGGGATGCTGTGTTTGGGGCCCTGTAGTGGGATGCTGTGTTTGGGGCCCTGTGGTGGGATGTTGTGTTTGGGGCCCTGTGGTGGGATGTTGTGTTTGGGGCCCTGTGGTGGGTGTGGGTCCCGTGGCAGGTGTGGGCCCTGTGGTGGGTTTGGGTCCTGTGGTGGGTATGGGCCCCATGGTAGGTTTGGGGCTCACGGTGGACGTGTTAGTGGGTGTGTTTTCCACAGGGCTCAGGGCACTTCTCGGGCTGCTCCTGTTTGCAGTAGTCTCAGCCGTGGTCTGAACAGGTGGGCTCGCTGTTGCCACCACCGCTGTTCTTGATGATGTATTGACATCTGTATGTGGCACTTGTACATGGGGTATGCTGAGGGAAGGAGGCCCAACAGTGGGGCTGGGTGGGGTCTGTCCTGTGGACGTGGGGCCTGGCGACGCGGGTGGTACAGGAGTTCTGGGGGTGGCATCATGTACCGTCGTTGCTGGAGTGGTCACATTCGTCCTGTGTGTTGTCACCTCTGTTGTGACTACGGTGGAGTTCAGGCTGGCTGTCGAAGTCCCTTTGGTCAGAGCAAGTGTCACCATGGCCGTTTTCTCGGCCGTTGTATTAGCAACTCTTTTAACTGCACCCTTGGGTATAGTTCTCTTGACTTTAGGGACTGAGTATGCTTAAAACAGAAAAGAGGGAGAGAGACACAATTGCTTTCAGCTGTCTGCAGGGATGACCCAGGGCCACTTTCACTACCTGGGGCTGGCTCTGTGGCATGGCCTCCACACCCACCGCTCAGGGCATCGATGGAGGTGACCTGTGAACCATGTGCCTCCTCTCCTCCCCTCCCCAGGGGACAGCAGATTGCTGAGAAGCCCTTGGGTCAAGAACTCCCTTGCATTTTCCAAACCCAAACTTGTGGGGCCTTCACAGATTCACTATTGGATTCAATCCCCAAAACATCGAACCAGAAGCCTCACATTATGGGTGTGATTGGCCAATGAAACAAAGCAAACCCTAAACCACTGCACACAGTAGGGCTGCAAAATATTCCCATTCAAAAACAGTCCTGGGCTCAGGGATGAACTTGGCCAAAGGAATGAGTGGAGAGGAGCCGAACCCCGCAGAGCAGGTACAAACTACATGGCAGACATGCACCTAAGGAACCCCAGGACAAACATGCGATTACAGAAGACGAGCTCCTCTGCAAGCCAAGCAGGTGACCCCTGCAGATCTCTGCTGCCCGGTCCCACTGGACCTGCACTGCTCCACCCTGAGGCTGACGGACAGCCCATGCCATTCCTGCAGCAGGTCTCTGCCTCTCCCGCACAGGGAATCCCGGGGCTCTGGGGCTCCTATGGGCCTGCCCAGCAGTCTTCACACTTACAAGACACAGATGCCACCTGACTTCCAGATAAGGGCAAGGAAGAAATCCAAAGCAGCATCAGGGCTGTCCACATCTTGGAGTGAGCTGGGAGCAGGGCTACTGGTCCCTGAGCCTCCCCGCAGGCCAGCCCCTCAGGCTGTCAATGGTTCCCTTCTGCTTGGCTCTGGGATCTGGGGTAGAGAAAGTACATTAGTCAGAGGTGTTTGTAAAGCAGCACACAGCCTCCCTGAGATCTGGGGTTCTACTGTGAAGGGTCTGCAGGCTCCACAGCGCAAGTTAAGCACAGTGAGCAGACGGGGCCAGCAGCCAAGAAGAGCGCAGCTCAGAGAAACCATGGCAGCAATGCCGACCTGCCCGAGTCTTGCCTCCCACTGGCTGAAGCACTTGGCCTGACTCACTTTCCTACCCCAGAAGCTAGAGGTAGAGAGGGCAGGAGCGAGCCAAGTCTTGGGCATGCGACAGGGTTAAAACCTTCTCATGCCCTCTGAGACTGGATGAATCTTCCTCCCTGACTTATTCCATGATCTGCAGGGCATAAGCCAGGCCTAAATGCAGTGCACCCTGAACAACTGACCATGGCTTTCACATAAGACACCATCATCTATCCTCCCATCCATCCATCCACACACCCATCCATCCACTATTCCATCCAACAACCCACCCACTCATGCATCCATCTATCCACGCACCTACCTAACCATCCATCTAACCATCCATCTAACCATCCATCTAACCATCCATCCATCCATCCATCCATCCATCCATCCATCCATGTACCCATCTGTCTACCAATTCATCCATCTGTCATACAACCCATAAAACCATGCATCCTTCCACACATTATTCCTTCCATCTATCATCCATCCATCATCATCCATCATCTATCATCCATCTATCCATCACCCATCTAGCCATCATCTGTCCATTATCCATCCATCCATCCATCATCCATCCATCACCCATCTATCCATCATCCATCCATCCGTCCATCTGTCACTCATCCATCCATCATCCATCCATCCGTCCATCCGTCACTCATCCATCCATCATCCATTCATCATCCATTATCTGTCCATTATCCATCCATCCATCATCTGTCCATCCATCATCCATCCATCAATTCATCCATCCATCCATTCATCCAATATTTGCTGGGTGTCTAGTCATGTGCCAGTAATGCATTTAGGACAAAAAGATGCGACACAGGCCTCTTGGAGAGGGAGGGACTGTAGTCTAGCTGGCACAAGCACCGTGGGGGTGGCTAGGAAGCAGGAAGGAAACAGTCTCTGGGCTGTGCCTCTCGGTGGAGGTTTGGAGAGTGGCTAGGCAAGGCTGGCAGGACAGGCAGCCCCAAGGACTTAAAAGGACACTGAATGCGGGTGAGGGGCCTTACTGAGTTGTGTAAAGATGACATGAGGTTGCTCAGGCAAACACCCAGCACAGTGCCCCGCTCAGCCATCAGCCCACCCCAAGAAGCAACTTCCATCCTTGCCCGGCACTCAAGCAACCCCATGAAGGGGGTGGCCAGGGTGGAGGCTGGGTGACCTGGGTGGAGGCTGGGTGACCTGGGTGGAGGCTGGGTGGCCAGAGTGGAGGCTGGGTGGCCAGGGTGGAGGCTGGGTGACCTGGGTGGAGGCTGGGTAGCTAGAGTGGAGGCTGGGTGACCAGGGTGGAGGCTGGGTGGCCAGAGTGGAGGCTGGGTGGCCAGGATGGAGGCTGGGTGGCCAGGGTGGAGGCTGGGTGACCTGGGTGGAGGCTGGGTGGCCAGGATGGAGGCTGGGTAGCCAGGGTGGAGGCTGGGTGACCAGGGTGGAGGCTGGGTGACCAGGGTGGAGGCTGGGTGGCCAGGGTGGACACTGGGTGGCCAGGATAGAGGCTGGGTGGCCCGAGTGCACAAATCCTCCTGGGAGACTGGAATACTCCAGGAGGCGTCTAACCCTTGCCAAGAGTTGGTAACTTTTTGTAGTTTTTAAATTGCACTTTCCCTCTAAAACAGTCACAAGGGCTCTTGTGTCTTAGGTGCGTAGGAAAGTGACCCACTCTAACAAACTGCCACACTTACTCTTACTTTCTAGGGTACAAGAGACATTCTTTGTTCTTAGAGAAAACAAGCGGGGCAGGTGTTATTAAGAAGGTGCAGGAACAACATCCTGACAGGGAAGAATGAAACCTGGAAGGTTTCGGCATAAAGAACTCGTGCTTAGCTGTGAGCCCAGGCAAGGCCACTGCACCACAGTAAACGCAGGCATTTCTCTGACCACTCACATCTGCCGATACACTTACGATGCCAGCACCAGGCACAGGATGCTCCCCGTGCCTTAGCTTTAGACTGATGGTAAGTTGGAGATGGAAAGATGTGACGGGCATTTCTAGTGAGGGGAGGGGGACTTAGCTTCCTGAACATACCCCAGGCCTTAGTATCTCATCCACGGCCAGGCAAACATTTTTGGTAAAGGGTCAGACAGCCACTATTTCAGACATGCTGCATCCCAGTGACTCAGTCCTCCACTGTAGCGCAGAGGCAGCTGTGGGTGTCAATGGCTGAGTTCCAATAAAACGTCATTCACACAGCGGGCAGCCCACAAGCTGTTTTCACCACCTGCAGCCCCAGCACTGCTGCCCACATCAGGGCTGCTATATCAGCTAAGTCTGGGAGAGGCTGACGAGGTGCCTTTCTGCTGACCTGCAACATCCCCACACCACCCCAAGGCCAGTTCTAGGTTCCCTGTCTGGTCCCCAAACAAGCAAGGACTGGGCCACTCACCAGAGACAGCTGCTCAGTGCATGCTCGGAGGCCAGGCCGTCTTTCTCCTTGGGGAGCTGTGGGTCTGGCATTGTGTACTGGCCACATGAAGTCTGGCTTTACAGGTGAGCACAGCTTGGCAGGGCCCTCCCAGGCCATGGCATGCGTTGAGACACCTGTAGGACAAAGGCAGATACTCCTCTGTGGTGACAGATGCATCTAGGGTTGAAACAGTGTTATCCCTCCTTAGGAAGAGCTCGGGACAAACGTCCAGTGAGGAGATCCCATAAGGAGCATACTGAGCAGTTCAGTGCAGGGAAAGGACAGGAATCAGAGTTGTCAATGGCACTTCGGATGCTGTAGCTCCCACACACGGAATTGATTCTAAGGAAGTCACTGGACAGCAGACCAAAGATGGAGGTCTCGATAGCACACACCTGTAATCTCAGTGCTAGGGAGGTGGAGGCACGAAGATCAAGAGCTCAGGAGCAGCCTTGGCTACACAGTTCCAGGTCAGCCTGGACTATATGAAGCCTTAACTCAGAACACAAACGGGGCTGTTTGTTGGCTCAGTGGGTGAAGGGTTTACTGTGCAAGCTTGAGGAACTGAGTTTGAATCCCAGCACCCACACAAAAGCTGGGTGTGGCAACATGCGCCTGGAACCCCAGTGCTGGGGAACAGAGATAGCGGGACGCCGGGGGGTTTGTTGGCCAGCCTGTTTGGCTGATTCAGCAAACTCCAGATTCAGTGCGAGACTGTCTAAAAACTAAGGTGGAAAAGCAGCTGAAGAAGACATCTCGGTGTCAGCCGATGGCCTCAAATACAAATGCATACACCACGCACACATACACGAGGGCGAGCTACAAAGATATACACCACGGTATTATGTACAGTAGCAAAAATCTGGAACTAATTCTGTAAATTTGGTCCCATTCAGAGCTAAACTACTACTGAAGGTGTTAAAATTAAATATATGTTTGTATTTACAGACACGCATCCTGAAGTAAGTAATGATGATTATCCTTGAGGAATGGATTTGTGATTATCTGTTATTTTACAGGACGTACCACTCTGGGGACACATTTCTGAAAGGCTCCAAAGAAAGAAAACAGCCCATTTCTTTCCAATTCCTGCAGCTCATAGGCAGGCTGGCCGGAGCAGCCCCACTCGGTACAATTTCACATGGAGGTTTTTTTTTTATTATTTTTTAAATTGTTTTGTGTGCATGTGTCTGTATGTGTATGTGAGTGCACACATGCTACTGTGTGTGTGTGGAAGTCAAAGAACAACTTTCAGGAGTTGGTTCTCTCCTTCCACCATGTGGGTTCTGGGGACTGAACTCAGGTTGTAAGCCTTGGCAGCAAGCACCCTTACCCACTGAGCCATCTTGCCAGCCCATACATGAATTTTTTTTTTTTTTTTACTAATCTTGAGAAATGATATGATTTATCTATTAGAAAATCCACTTTTCTAAGCGGTAACTAAAACTTAGAATCAAGGAGTACAGCTGTAATACAAAGACATTAGGCAGACAAGTCTCACATGGATCAATTTTTGTTTTTGAGACAAGGTCTCACACTATAGCCTAGACTGGCTTGAAACTCATTATGTAGCCCAGGCTGGCCTCAAATTTACAGCAATCCTCCTGGTTCATCATCCCAAATGCTGAGATTACAGGTGTGAGCCACTAGGCCTGGCTTTCCCTGGTGAGTATTTAATGTGACAGGACAGAAGCAGGAGATGGGGATGGACAGACAGGGTGACAAATGGCAGTAGATGGTGGCAGACAGACGGCAGCAGTGATGGACACACAACAGTTGACAGTGACACCTGGGATCACTACAGACCTGCTCTCTAAACAAATGTGCAAGGATGCACATAACATGTGTATCTGTGAGAAATCACATAGTACACACATGTATGCATGAACACACACACACACACACACACACACAGAGCAGCTCCACAAGACTATCTCTGAAACACTCCACAAATTTCTCAGAAAACTTTGCCATGTACCACCCTGCTTATTTTGGGAGTCATACCCACAGAAGCAGGAATCAGCCGGGGAGTCAAGAAGGCCCTGTCTACTGTGACTTCATCGCTCTGGTATGGTCCGGCCTCCACTTTCCAAGAGTAGTCTGTGTCAAGATGCTAAGAAAGGCTGGTGACACACACTTGTAATTCCAGCACTGGGAGGCAGAGGCAGAGGCTCACCTCCAAGTTCAAGTCCAGCCTGGGCTACAGAACAAGACACTGTCCCAACAACAAAACCACAGTTGGGGGCTACACTAATCCTTACAAGTTGACTCATAATGAACAAAGCATTAGCGTGATTTAAAATAAGTTTCGCCTGCAAGGACTTGAAGGAGCTTTAAGTACTAGCTTTCAGAATTGTCATAATCTGTGGAGAGAGCCAGGCACAGCAGTGTACGCCTGTAATTCCAGTACTCCAGAGGTACAGGCGGGAGAGCCAAAAGTTCTAGGCCAGCCTGATCTATATAACAAGTACTGTGTCAGCCATGGCAATGTAGTGAGACCTCCTCTTTAAGAAACAAAGAGGGGCTCAGTGGCAAAGAGCTGGCTGCTCTTGCAGAGGACCTGGGTTCGGTTCCCAGCATTCACACGGGTGCACATAATAGATGCAGGTAATACACTCATACGCATAAAATAAAAAAATAACAAAATTTTAAAAAAAACAAAAAAGGAAAAAGGAAGGAAACAGTATTGGGGCTGGAGAGATGGCTCAGCGGTTAAGAGCACTGGCTGTACGATCATGTGGATCAGAGTTCAGATCTCAGCACCCACATAAACAAGCCAGGCATCCCACAACGGGTGCGCTCACATATATGCAGGCAATACACTCATACACATAAAATAAAAATAATAAATAAAATATTTTAAAAATAAATAAATATATTTTTAAAAATTACTGTTAAGTCAGAGACTAGAAAAGACAGAAAGATAGGAGGTTAGGTTGGTCCTGAAAGTCTCCCCTTTGGGAATCAGCTCCCCACAAGATCTACAAGGGAGGAGCAGGCCACCTTCAGTCAGATGACACAAGAAAGACCCGATCCAATGTTCCAGGTGCCCATCTGCCACATGGACACGTCCCTTAGACCACAGGGCAATGTCTATATATACAAGACTTTAAGGCTGTGTTTCCTGAGTTGTGCCTACCAAAGTTCATCCAGGTGACGTGTCCCTGAGATCGTGTCCCAAAGCATCAACTTTATTCCATCTCGGCCATGACTTTGGGATGCTTCCCAACACCTCTGGCCTTTCATTTCTTGTGTTCCCAACCTTGGCGTGAATTTTAATTTCTTAATGATCTGTGGTACGTAAGATGCCATATATATACACAAACACACATATATATATAAAACAAGGTACATAAAACTAAAATTCAACTTGGTGAATTTTTTTTCCTGACATACACAGATGCAACACGAAAAGTCCAGACTTGATTTATAAGCAGGAACATGGCCCCAGTCCCTAGTCCAAACTGGGGGAGCCACGCATACATAGCAGTAGAGACTGGGAAAGTTGGTCCAGGACAAACAGTCACCTAATCCCCAACACGTCACCTGGCTGGACTTTGGTAGAAGGAGCTCAGGGAACACAGACCCACAGTCCTGTATACATAGAGTTTGCCGTGTGGTCTAAAGGATGTGTCCATGTGGCAGACGGGCGCCTGGAACATTAGATTACCATCTTAATTACATTGCTTACCTCCAGATTTCTTAAGTTCTGGTCTCATTAATAAATGCCAAAGGTCTGGTTGTTTTTGGTGGCACTGCCTGTCGCTTTGACATTTCGCTATTAGGCAGGTCCAATATACAAATGGAAAAATCTGCATTTTAAATACTTTCCTCGCTAGTTTTATCGAAATTTTTAGAGCTGCTTCCTGGGGGTGGGGTGTAATTAATGCATTCTTAGAGTCGGACTTGAAAGCACCGCGTTTCTCCCATCAAACCCAGTGGCTGCCAATTCCTGGAACCAGCCTAATAGTTACGCGCACATGCACAAGGCGAAGCATGCGACAGACGAGGAGGCTGGAAAATCGGGACGTGACCCCCAGTCCCAGGGGCGCTGCCCGGGTCAACTCTGTTAGGAGTGTCCACCTCCGCACTGCAGCCCACGCGCGCTCCTCCCGGGCGCTGTCCCCCCTCCCGGCCGGATCCCGGTGCACCCGCCCTCCCCACCCCGGTTCTCCTCCGCGCAGCAGCGGGCCGCTTACCCGGGCGCCGCAGGCCCCTTGCACCGCAGCGCAGCCGCCTCGGCCCGGCCGGGAGACGTGGCCCGGGCGCAGCCAGCTCCACCCAGCCGGGCAGCGGCTCGCCAGGCCCCGCCCGGACCGCACCCGGAAGTGACGTCGCAACGGGCGTGGCCCGCAGGCTGCTCGTGGGGCGTGGTTTGTTTGTGCCCCGCCTCCGAGGTGGCCCACGTGCGCGGAAGGAGCTCTTTAGAGCTGGTCTCTAGCGGAAGTGGGTGCTTCCCGGGTTGGGTAGTTGCCGTGCACCCAGTATTTTCTAGAAACACGGAGCGTGCCGGGATGGTGCCCGGCCTGGGCCGGCGGTGGCTCGGGGAGGCAGATGAGGGCCGTGGGCGGGTCCCGCCTGCCCAGTACCCTAGTCCTTCCCGTAGCAAACAGGGATGGCGTCTGAGCCTCAGCACCCCACCACAGGGGTCGTGCACGGACCTAATTCTACCAGAAGAGCTTCGCCCCCATTTCACAGGCTCAGAAACTGAGGCTCACAAAGGGCTTTGGACTTTTCTTTTGTCTTTTTGAGACAGGTCTTCCTGTAGCCCCAGCTGTCCTGGAACTCACTATGTAGACCAGGCTGGCCTTGAACTCACAAAGATCCGCCTGCCTCTGCCTCTGGGATTAAAGGCGTTCGCCACCACACCCGGCTTTGGACTTTTTAATATATCTGTATTTCCTGCATGCATGTAAGTGCACCCGTGTCGTGCAATGCCCACAGATGTTAGGGGATCCGAAAAGGGCCTCAGATCCCCTGGAACAGGAGTTACGGCCTCCATATGGGTGCTGGAATTCGAACCTGAGTCCTCTGCAAGAGCAGCCAGTGCTCCCAACTGCTGAGCCATCTCTCTAGCCCCATCTTTTATTTTTTAAAGACTTGTTTTCTTCTTGTGTGTGTGCCTGTTTGTGGGTACTATGTGGGTTCAGGGACTAGAGGCATTGAATGTCCTGGAGCTGGAGTTACAGGCAGTTGTGAACCTACCAATGTGGGGTGCTGGGAACTGAACTAGGATCCTCTGCAAGAGCAGTACTTGCTCTTAAACGCGAAGTCGTCCATCTCTCCAGCCTCATCTCTTTCATTAAAAGGCGCAGTCAAGTCATTACAGTAAGAACTCTATAGCTCACAAAGCCTAAAATATTTATTTCCTGGCCCTTTACAGGAAATGGCCACTGATGGTCAGTCTAGAGTATTACCAGGGTGTGAGTTTCAGAGGACAGCAGAAATATATCTAGTCAAAATGGTCTGGTATACAGGGAATTCATTTTCTCGTATGGAGGTCTAGCACCTGTAAACCAAGAAATTTTATTTTTAAATTGTATTTATTTGTGTGTACGTTTTCATGTACCATGTGGAGGCCAGAGGATGAGGATAACGTTTTTAAAAATTGTTTTTATTTACCTCATGTGTGTGTCTGTGTTTGTGCTCCCATGTGTGGGTACTCACAGGGGCTGGAATCTGGAATAAATGTTTCTGAGCTGCCTGGCATGGGTTCTGGAAACTGAACTCAGGTCCTCTGCAAGAACAGTACACTCAACCACTGAATCATCTGCCCAGCCCCTCCACAGGATAACTGTAGAATCCCGTTGTCTCCTTCCACCTTTACATGGATTTCAGGGATCAAACTCAGATTATGAGGTTTGCCAGACAAGCGCCTTTACCTGCTGAGTCATATTACTAGCTCCCAAGAAATTTTAAAGGAAGATAAAAGTAGACAGCTTTATTGGGGTGCAGAGTAAGCTTGCAAATTAGGAAAATGTAGCCTGAGTTTAAAAGCTGGGTAGGTGCTCTACAGAACTGAGCACTATCACCAAAACGGACAGTTCTTTATGGGGTGATAAGCTGGATTGAGGGAGGGTCATCTGTTTGGAACATATAAACTGACATAAACTAAGTCCGTCGGAATGTTTAAGTCAATATGAAAATTGATCCATGTGGTGTCTCTCAAACCTTGAAAAATACTATTAAATTCCAGAAGACTTAGGGCTGGAGAGACACCTCAGCAGTTAAGAGCACCGGCTGCTCTTGCAGAGGACCCACATTCGATTCTCAGCATGCACATGGTGACTAATGATTGTCCATAACTCCAGTTCCAGGAGAATCTGATGCCTTCTTCTGACCTCTATGGGCATTGCACTGACATGGGTACACTTACACACACAGGCTGCCAGTACTGCATCTCATACCTGAACAACGCTCACCCAACACACCTGTGTTTTCTGTTGAACTAGGCACTCGAGCACTAGTTGGTGCTTGCTGTTAAAACTTCTTTGGGGGGTGTGTGAACCAGGTCCACCCACGCCAAGGTCCCAACAACAAACCAAGGTACAATTCCACCAAAGTGCACTCTGGGAAACCAATGAGTTTGTTGGGCCTATTTACAGAGCAATGGGTGATGGATCACTTACAGGAGTGTGGGTGCTCCCCTAAGGCTGCACTGGAAAGTCTTCACCCAAGCATGGATGATGGCTTCCCAGTAGCCCCATAGAGAGCCCCTCACTTAGCCTCCCCCAGATTGTATTCTCTGGCCCTTCCCCCAGGCTACATGCAATTAAGGCCCAGTTGCCCATCATGGGTTGGGAGGTGTGGCTGTATACTCAGGTGAGAGTTCTGTGACTCTACCTGCTCCTCCTTCTGTACAGAGCATCAATAGTCTATAAGCCCAGCTGTGATGATTTGGGCAGGTGGACCCAGGTTAGCTAAGGAACATGGCTGGCTGACTCAGAGGACAGGCCTGTGCAAAGCGTTTTAGTGCTATGTAGGGGCCATTTAATGGAAAAGTCACCAACAAAAGGCACAAAAATACAAAGCTATGTGTTAGGTTAAAAATGTTGGAGAGAGGTGCGCGGATGGAGGAGGCACCGAGGCACAGATAGAATTCTCAGCGGGATACAGCTTTATTTCGCACAGGACACGTTTCCCTCGGGGAAGGGAAAGATGTCAGGGAAGGGAAAGATGTCAGGGAAGGGAAGGGAAAGAATTCTCAGCGGGATACAGCTTTATTTCACATGGGACACGTTTCACTCAGGGAAGGGAAAAATGTCAGCTCATGGGTTGTGAGCTGGGACTTTATATATGGGGGCTTTAGGGTGTGGAAGGGGGGAATGTTTGGGGGAGAAATCAGGGAGGGGGAAGCAGTAAAAGCTGGTAGGATTAGGGTCTGGAAGTGTTTACTTTTTGCCTCTTAAGATGAGAGAAAAACAGCTTCTAAAATGTCTGGTTATCAGGTAGAATCTGCTTATCCTATCTTTGGAGGTCAGAGGAAAGGCAGGCTGCTTCTCAGCAGAGTTTGTTTCCCTTGACTCCAAAGGTCAAGGTGCTTATCAGCTCAGTTCCCTTTTTCGGGCTCCAAAGTCTGTAGGTCCCTGTTGGGGAGGGGGGGAAGCTGCTATTTGGAACCCTAACACTATGTCCCTAAGACTATGGAAAGACGTTTGTTGACTGTAGTAGAGCTGGAGCTAGGTAGTGAGGTGGTCCCTGTTGCGGGGGGTGGGGTGGGGTTGGGTACCATGAGAAATGTCCCCATGATTTGAACACTTGGTGGTGCTGTTGTGGGGAGGCTATGGAGCTCTTAGGTTGTGGAGCCTTGCTGGAGGAAGTTCATCACTGGGGGGCAAGGTTTGAGAGTTTATAGACTTGCCCCCCCTTTGGTTTGCTCTGCCTTCTGGTATACCCACAAAATGTGATCAGCCGCTGCCTGCTGCCCTGTCATCCCTATAGTCCCCACCATCTTGGGCTCTAGACTCCTGCCACCGTGCTTTCCGCATCATGATGGACTGTACCTCTAATCATGATCCAGGAAACCCTTCCTTCCTCAAGGTATTTTGTCACAGCAATGTGCAAAGTAAGTAATATACCTAGCCTGGTGGTGCAGGCCTGTTTGGGGGTTCTGATCCTTGATCTGGTTCCCACATGATTTTAAGGTTACCTCTTTGGTGGGGCGGTGTTAGAGTAGCAAAACAATGCTTGTTAGAAAAAACTCCTTCTGGTCAGGAGAATAGAATCTCTGGCCTGGGTGGAAACCTAACATTCCATTTGGGTGGGAGGAGGTGTCAGTCACCAGGCTAAGAAAGGCCTCACCTTATCCATGCTAAAGAGGTAGGTGAATAATTAGTCCTTTAATGGGATAATGTACTTTTCCTTCCTTGAAACCTCACCCCAGCACAGTACTTTACCCAGCTGCAGACACGCTGCTCCCTGTCTGCCTGCTTTTCAAAATCCTTTGGAAAAGTGCATCCTCTCCTTTTCTTCCATGTCTTTTCTGAGCATGTTTTCTCCAATCCTGGGGCTGCTCCAACTGCTGAGTTTTCCCACCACGTGGCGGCTAGTCTGCCATATGTCTGACCTCCACACGGGCTGAACCTCACAACTTTTTCCCTTCTCTCTTCCATTCTCCTCTTCCAGGCAGCTGCTGAGGTTTACAGGTTTTGTGCCCTAATGGCTTTTCTTTTAAATTCTAATGAAATTGTGCTTGATCTTCCATTTGAGTCCATTCTTAGATTCTTTTATTAATGAGACTAAGAACCCCAAGAGGGGATCCCAGTTTCCCCTGTACCGCAGGGTCCTGTGGGGTAGCTCTGACTGGCCTGGAACTCTATACCAGCCTGGCCTTGAACTTGTAATGATTCTCCTGCCTCTGGCTTCAGAGTTCTGGGATTTTAGATGTGTGCACCTGGACTAGAAACATTTTTTATAATTGGAATTTTTGTTTTTGAGAACTGTTCTTTTTGTGTGTGTGTCTTTGTGAGACAGGGTCTCCCTGTAGTCCCAGCTGTCCTGGAACTCACTATGTAGACCAAGCTGGCCTTGAACTCACAGAGATCTGCCTGCTTCTGCCTCCCAAGTGCTGGGACTAAAGATGTGCACCACCATGCCTGGCCTTGAGAACTGTTCTTTAACAACTTTGAGCTTCCTGCTTCCCAGTGCTAGGGATGAACTTAAAGCCTCATGCATGCTAGGCAAGCTCTGCACCCTCCAGGTACTGAGCCAGGTCCCCAGTCCCTAATGCACATTTGAAAGCAGCAAAGCATGCTATCCCTGGGGCAGAGCTCCATGCATTCCTTAATAGACAGGTATCAGAAGTTCCAATCTTTTTA